ATATATATATATATATATAGACATATATATACGGGCCAGGTAGAAAACGGCTCAAAGCGATCATACCCGGGGCTTTTAAGATTGGGCGTTTTTGGTACCTCTTACCTGGTCGACAGTGGCGCTTGCCTGCTTCGTCGCAGACGTAGTTGGCGGCTTCGGGATCGCAGAACAGGTTGCACAATTCGCCGTAGTACCTCGGCAGACAAACGTAGGACGGCTGAAAGCGAACAATGCTGAAAATGGAAAGAAAAGACGACTTTATCGTCTGTCCGGCCAACAAGTGAATGCGAAACATCAAAAACTGTCCAGACTCTGTTTTTTTTTCGTGCGACGACCCTCATTTCGCCCGAATTACACGGGTTTCCAAACACTCGGTGGATCCCAACTAAGATCACGAGTCGGTTTTCTCGTCGAGGAATGATTTCACTTTCATCAACACTCATGACAGGATACATGACCTGCGTCTACGTATAAATCAAAATACTACTTATTACATTAACAGTAGTCTCAGTGATTGTTGTGTTCAATGCAACTTTAACGTGCATACAATCAGCAATGCCTGCGCTACTGAATGCCGCCGAAAAACGATTCGGCCTCTAATTTTTGCCCACAGCTGTCGGAAAGCATAACTTATTTACTTTTTCAACGGTTCCTGTACTCTCGTTTTACCATTCACGCCAAAATGGGCTTGGCTTTCATCGAGTCGGCGCGAAGGTGAGAAATGAAGCAGGTTTTGTAGCTTTTATGGCCAGACAGTCACTTTGTGAGGACATATAAATAGACGGATGTACCGGAAACGCTAGTCTGCTAGTTACGACTTGTCGGGTGGGTCTTGTAACTCAGCCTACTTACACGAAACTCATCGAATTTGGCCGAGTTTAATTGACGTTTTGCATTGCCTTCGCCTCGCAACAGAACTAGTGGCGTCGGCCATCGCGGTCGACTTGTACATTCTTTGCGGTCTCTGGTTGCAGCGCCAGTGTTTAGGCAGAAAAGCGTCCATTTTGGTGCGTCTACTACTTACTGCCTCTCGAAGTTACGCTGACCATTTTATAGCATACATCGGACGTGAATTTTAAAATAAAATAATATTTTGAGAATAAAAACATTGCGTTCATTTACATTTGTATTAGTTGTACGCTTCGTAAAATACCAACCATCTTATTCAATCAATTTTCTAGAATAAAATTGAGTTACCACACGACAAAGACCAGATATCTGACTTTCAATATTGAAAAGCATAATAAATTAATAATATTAAGCATTTTTTATATCCAAGACGTTTTTCCAAACATAGTTTTACCACTCATTAAAATGACCGTATTCTTCATTATTAATGCAATTTCACATACTCACAAGTATGGCTAAACTTTCAGTTTGCCAACATCGTCATAGTAAAATAAAAAATAATTATTCATTATAAATTAGATAATCATCCTCAAAAGTATCGTCTACTTCGTAAAAGTTGCTTTCTCACTAAATCATTCTATAAAAGTGACTGAATTTTATTCTTTCCGGATCACAGCATCGTTTTCCGTACTTCCCCCGGTGGCACAATCTCCCAGCCAGACCTCGATCTTGCATCGTCCCATCTTCTATCTGATGGTCTAACACGACAAAACCAATTTACCCCTTTTTGCTCACATTTGCACAAACTCACTCTCTGACGCAAGCAGCAATTACGGGGCCAAATTGGTTAAATAATGAAATAGAAGAAGCTCTTGGTACAATGACATCTTTTCCTTTGCCCAACACATGTTC